ATGATGACGCATCACACTGATCAGTTTGGAGGAACTGGACTGTGGCAGGCTCTTCCAGATGAGATCATCGCCTTTCCTGCTCACTCTACTTGTTCATCAGTCAGCAAGAGGCTTAAAAGGATCTGAATAATACAGTGAGAAGGGATGAATGGACCTGGGAGGGTCTATGGTCCACCTGACTGGCTGACTTATCTGTTCCGTAACTTTGCAAGGAATTCACTAACCTTCTCTGAAATCTGGCTTATGTTAAAGGGTATCTGAAATCTGGCTTATGTTAAAGGGTATCAAGGTTAACCAATACCTTGGTTCATTTTGTAGTTTATTCTGATGCCCTGAAATAAAATGGTAACCACGGAAGATTTTTCCCCAAAGCAAGACAGCACAGGGAGGAGGTAAGGAGACAAGGAGCAGCTTCTTCAGGTGGGGTGCTGAGCAGCTAGACTGGGGAGTCAGACCACTTGGAACCCCAGCACAGCCCAACACTTTTGGGAGCCAGTGGCCATGACTGATCCACCAGTGGCCCTGCTACTGAGGTCTACAGGCTGCAGGTGAAGGTGTGTCCCCACTTGGCCCACAGCAAGATGACAGGGCCAGGCTCAGAGAGACCACCACCCACAGTGAGAAGCATATCATTTACATATTCCCACAGTGGGGATGCAGTGAGTTGATTGGCTAAGACCTACCTGCCTTATTGAGGAGGCAATAGGAGTTCTGCTGCCTTTCTAGAAACTAATTTTTAAGGGATGATCATTAAGGGTTATGGACCAGTCACTGTCAGGACTTGGAATGCAGAATGGTTGCTGGGTCATGCTAGGACAAAGAGTGGTCCAGAGAAGTCTGGTCTAAAGAATTTGAATGATTTGGAGAAGTCTGTGGAAAAGATAGTTGATTATTGGGAGGGGAGAATAAAGAGTGTATGTCTTAGCAGGATTTTCTGGCCAAGGATCTTTAACCTAAAATTCTCTGCAAACTTGATAGAAGAAGCAACAACTGAACAATTGGAGAAATTTATAGGTCAATTATGCCAGAAAATTTCCAGAACAGAAGACAAAAAAGGGAAGAAATTGGTAATAAACCAAAACACAGACACAAAAACAAGAAAACAAAACCGCAAAGGTTCAAGTGTTCCCAGCTGACCATGACCAACCTTGCAGAGCACAGCACCTGTCAGGAGGTCGAAGGCTACAGTTTAGGAGCCTGGCCCTGGCAGAGTGAGCTCAAGTGAAGAGGCCACACTGCCCTGAGAAATAAGCACCTCCAAGCTCTCTCCTTCCTCATATAGAATGTGCTTACAGGGGGACACCTGCCATTGTGGCATTCCTATACCTATTTTCTATTAAAAAACAATGTCTTCAAACAGCTCCTGCCAGTTTTCCCATGGTACGTACCTGGTTATCCTGTTCAATAGGTTCACCCTGTCCAGAAGGGGCCTTCCTGGCCCACATTACACTACCTCTTTGGACCTGTGGTGTACTTCCTAGTACAAATGAGATGTGATATGTCCTGGGACAGCTCCAAGTTTATAGGCTATGCTGGTCATCAGATACAATGGGGCCATTTGTTCCCCTGTAATCCTATAGTTCTAAATGTAAAAGCAAAATCACCAGGAAGTAGGGCCCAGCCAAAGGAGGAGAAGAATGGTCTGAAACAGGTGTTTGGCACTAATGTTATTCAAGCAGCCTTCACTGGGATCTATTTCCCACACAGTTAGCTGGAATACTGGCTCATGGAACCTGTCCTTATGCTCCCTTGACTCTGCTCAGATGGAAGCCCCAGGTGCAAAGGGGGGCACTCCCACGTGGGGTCTATGTTCAATGCTTAAACCTCCTGTCCCCAAGCAGATCTCTTTGGGATGAACCCAGAGCTGCATGAGTCTCTCTGAAACCAGGCCCGAAACACAGCATGGGTAGGGCAGAGAGGAGGGCCAATGTGAGGCTATCAGGCACTGCTGAAGCCAACCAAATACTTCTCAAGAGAGAGATGCATTCTTCTTTCAATCACATTTCTATCACCTATTATTTCCTTTTGTGATTTGCATCTTTTTTTTTTTATGGGCATTTTCATTTGTTCCATGGCCAATTTTTGTCCTTGTTAGTAAAAAGAAACCGATTTTGAACATGAGGTAACAAGCAGAGCAGTATACATGTGTATTTTTATTTTTTAAGTAGGAAAGAGTGTTCTGTGGTTCCTTGTATTTTATTTCAATACGGTCATGTCTGGCCTGAAGCAGGCAGGGCCTTACGGATTTGCCTTAAAACTGAGTGCTGCCAGCCCCACTCTTCAGCCCAGTATCCTGAGGGACCAGCTCATGATGCACCTACTCTGAGGCAGGTCTTTTTTTTTTTTTTTTAAGATTCTATTTATTTATTCATAGAGATGCACAGAGAGAAAGAGAGAGAGAGAGAGAGAGAGAGAGAGAGAGAGAGAGAGAGAGAGAGGCAGAGACACAGAGGGAGAAGCAGGCTCCATGCAGGGAGCCTGATGTGGAACTTGATCCTGGGTCTCCAGGATCACGCCCTGGACCAAAGGTGGTGCTAAACCACTAAGCCACCCAGGTTGCGCTCTGAGGCAGGTCTTACAAAGAGGCATAGAAGGGATTCCACTGAAGTCCCAGGATTTTAGGCCTAAAAGGGTAGGGGCTAGAGAAGGTAATAAAGGTGAAGGGTGAACAAGGGAACGGGACTCCAAGCCCAATCTCTGCTCTTCCCTGCTTCAACCAGAGTAGCTGTTTTTTCTGTATTTACGTATTAGCTGTGTGACTGCTAGTAAGTTTTAAATGAATATAGGACCTCCCTCCTATAGCTGATGAAGCAAAGTGACTGACCGCAGGAAAAGGCACTTATAGCAGTGTAGAACACACAGTGGATGTTCAAAAAATGTCAGTCAATATTCTGTGTGGATTCCACATTAGAATTTGTTAAATAGTTTGGAAGTCACTGTTTTGGCTCATCTCCCTCATTAAAAAACAAAAACAAAACTGAAAAATAACTTCATTAAAGCATGTAAATACAAAAAAGTATTTTTAAAAAACTACTCAAATGCATTTGTGTAAGAAAAATTCAAATATAATACCAGAATAAAATGAAAAAATAATTCTTTGCTTCTCCACATAGTCTCACTCCAACTTCCTTCCCCAGAACATCCATTATTGTCATTTCTAGACCTTTTTCTTAGATATTTATACACATAAACATGCTCTTTGTTTCTTAAGTGTGGAATTACACCATATACACTGGGCTGTAGCTTATATTTTCCACTTGACAATGTATCTGAGATGTTTCTTTTCTATGATAGTACATCTAGATTGATCTCCCATTTTACCACTATTCCATAGTAAGGGTATACCATATTTTATTTAACTATTCTCCAGTGATGAACATTATAGAAATCTCCAAATTTATTTATTTATTTATTTTTAATTTTATTTATTTATTTATTTATTTATTTATTTATTTATTTATTTATTTATTATTTATTTCCTTTTATGGCTGCAGTTCACCCCTTTCTTGGTACATCTACAGGTATGAATTTTTTTGTAGACCCTATAACTAGTTGTGAAATTTAAATTTTTGATACATGACAACTGGCTCTCCAAAACGGCTATACTGATTTGTATACTAGCACTAAAGTCCTGTATTGTTAGTCTTGTAATTTTTTTGCCAACCTGATGTAAGAAAATTAGTATCCTGTTCTATTTTTTTTTCATGTTTATTGGCCAACTATTTCTTCAGTGAATTTCCTGCTCTGTACCCATTTTTATAATTGGTTACTTGCCTTTTTCTTATTGATTTAAAAGAAATTTATTTTGGGTATTAATACTTGGTCTTATATCTTAAGCTGTTTTTTTCCCCGGCTTATTGTGTATCGTTAATTACATTATTGGTCTCTTTCATTCTTTTTATATGTTGTGAAATCTTTCGGTACTTTATGGCTTCTGGGTTTGCTTGTTTATTTCCCTAGTACTCTGTTATTTAAGGATAGTTTCTTCTTTTCATGTAACAGAGGAGGCAGTTCTGAATTCTAGCAGGATCTAGATGATCACAAGTGTCTCTTGATTTGTTGGTCCAAGGATTTTCCTACCAAATCACATCACTTTTCTGTTGTTACCAGGTTTAAAGGCATTTAAGAGGTTTGACTCTCTCAACTTTGATTTCTTCCTCCTTCCCTCCTCTTCCTCCTCATTCCTGCTGGCCTACACAGACAGGTCTGTGTATTTTTTTGCATGACTAGGGAACAGAGATGAATCAACCACGATTTCTGCAATCAAAGAGCCCAAGGTATGTGTGTGCGCACGTGTGTAATAATGCAAACGGAAATTACCATAAAACATAAAAGTTTGGTTCCTCATGGATAGGAAATCTGAAGAAAGCATATTGATATATTAGCAAGGAGGCTGGGTTTCCAAAGAGAAGTTTTTAGAGAGAAGCTTTGAACCTAGTCTTTGCTTATGTAGACATTAAGTAATCTTAACTAACAACACATACTCCACCTTTCCAATGGAGGTGCATAGTTCTCAGACTTACGTACCTTGTGTTTTAATCTTTTAGTGTTTCTCTGACATGCGGATTTGTATATTTGGCTGTGAGGTTTACAGAGACACAATGACCTGGTTTGCTCACCAGAGACATTAAGAAAACAATCTCTAAAGTAAAATATACCCTAACTATGATAAAACTCAATAGTCACAAAGTAATATAGTACTTGTAATTCAATAAGTGAAGCCTCTGTAACTCACAAAATTACCAGTCTGTAAAATGGAGCCACTACTTAGATAAAATGATGACAAAATATTCTAAAAATGTGAAATACTACATAATAGAAAACACGAAATCTACAGAATACTCTGCATTGCCATTCACATAATTTAGTGAAATCCCTGGAATGAAAGATTGAGCACTCAAGCCACTGGATGGAATCACCGAACTTGGAAAGACTGAAGTGAAGCCCAACCACCCAAACCCCCTGATTTTGTGTTTCAGCCCCACTCAGGAAGGTCCTACCAGAGTTCCATCTGTTAGGGTGCACCCGGAGAAGCGTTTTGCAAGAAATCCCTCAAAGTTAGTTGTTCTCTGAATAGCAAAAAGAAGCAGTTTCACTTCAATTTCCTTAGCTCTGGTACGCATAATCTTGGCAAGTTCTGCCCTTCAAAATAAAGAAATAAGAATGTTGTAAAAAACAAAACAAAAACAAAAACCTGTTCAAGATAGGTTAAATAGTTTATAGCTTGCACCCCCCCAAGAAAGAAAAAGTATGTGGTCATTTCAAATCCTGAGGTCTGTTACCAACTAAGTTTTATGTTTGGATAACAGAAATACATAATCTAAATAAGAATTTGAAGGTAAAATTACCCACTAGTCAAAAAAGTCAAGGATTAAGGAGATCAAATTGTTTACATGGTTACTACTATTTTTAGATCTTTCAAACTTTCCATAATTTGTTTCCATATAAAGTACTCAGTATTTTATAAAAATGCATATATTTTGTAAAATGTCATAAGTCATTAATTACTGAACTATAAAGCCCTCTCTTCCAAAGAGGTGAATAACCATCTCTTCAACCAGAGAGCAGGAACCGCAGAAACAGACTAAAATCCCCATGTGAAAAGTGGCATGTGCATGCTCAGGTGGTTCCTGCCTGTGAAGCTTATGTACCACTTCAATGTTCTGCTTCAGAATGGGCGCTGTAAGGAAACAGTGACCTGAGAGCTCTTAGTAAGTACTGAGCCATGATTATCTTCCCATACAAATAAATGGCAAAATCAAAGAGCCTCTGCGATTATTTGAAAATTATGTATCTGTAGGATTTTAGCCAAAATTCCAACAATATGGCAGCAATAGCAGCAACACAATTAGCTAGCACAATGATAGCAGATTTGTGGCATTAGTATACTTCTAGTCTCCTACAGACTGCATTTTTCACAGAATTAGTTTGCAAGTCACTGAACTATATAGGCTGAAGAAAATTAGTTATCAGTTTCTCAAGGAATTTGCTTTCTTTGCTAATCAGGACTTAGAAAGTGACAATCACAATTGTCCTCTAATCAACATTAAACCGATGGTAGCAAATGTGCTTCTGAAACAACAGCCACAGAGAGTGTACAACACCAGGACTGAACGAGCCTAATGTAAACTGTGGACTCTGGGTGATAATGGTCTGTGAGTGCAGGCTCGTCCATTGAGACAAATGTACATTTTGGTGGGGGATGCTGATAATTGGGGGGCTATGCACGTGTGGGGACAGGAGTATATGGGAAACCTTTGTATCTCCCTTTCAATTTTGCTATAATCCTAAAATTACTTTAAAAAATAAAGTCTACTTAAAAAAAAAAGATAGGGACGCTTGGGTGGCTCAGGAGTTGAGCGTCTGCCTTTGGCTCAGGGCATGATCCCAAGATCCAGGATTCAGTCCCACATCAGGCTCTTTGCAAGGAGCCTGCTTCTCCCTCTGCCTGTGTCTCTGCCTCTCTCTCTCTCTCTGTTTCTCATGAATAAATAATCTTAAAAAAAATAAAGTCAATAGCCAATATCCCTTAAGAAATCTTGGCAAGTTCTGTCCTTCAAAATAAATATGTGTTTAAAGCGTACAACTTGATTGTATTCTCCATGATTTTAAGAAAGATGCCTACCATCAATTATTCTAAAGTGGCTGAGTTATGCTTAGACATGGGACTTTTTTAAAAAATTAGGCTGGAGTTAATATAATTGTGCACTGTTAGAAGGGCATAGATAAGGGGTGCCTGGGTGACTCAGGTCATGACCTCAAAGTCCTGGGATAGAGCCCTACATCAGCCTCCCCACTCAGCAGGGAGTCTGCTTCTCCCTCTCCCTCTGCCCCTCCCCCTGCTTATGCTCTCTTTCTCCAACTGCTAAATAAAAAAAATCTTTTTTTTTAAGATTTTATTTATTTATTCATGAAAGACACACACAGAGAGAGAGAGAGAGAGAGAGAGAGAGGCAGAGACATAGGCAGACGGAGAAGCAGGCTCCATGCAAGGAGCCTGATGTGGGACTCAATCCCAGGTCTCCAGGATCATGTCCTGGACCGAAGGCGGCGCTAAACCGCTGAGCCACCAGGGCTGCCCAAATAAAAAAAAAAAATCTTTTTTTTTAAATTTTTTTTTAATTTATTTATGATAGTCACACACAGAGAGAGAGAGAGAGAGAGGCAGAGACACAGGCAGAGGGAGAAGCAGGCTCCATGCACCGGGAGCCCGACGTGGGATTCGATCCCGGGTCTCCAGGATCGCGCCCTGGGCCAAAGGCAGGCGCCAAACCGCTGCGCCACCCAGGGATTCCCCCAAAAAAAAAATCTTAAAAAAAAAAAATGGGGGGATTCCTAGGTGGCTCAGCAGTTGAGTGTCTGCCTTCAGCCTACGGCATGATCCTGGACCCAGGATTGAGTTCCACATCAGGCTCCCTGCATGGAGCCTGCTTCTGTCTCTGCCTGTGTCTCTGCCTCTCTCTCTTTGCCTCTCATGAATAAATAAATAAAATCCTAAAAAAAAAAAAAGAAGGGCATAGATAACTCTGTTATCTATGGGCATAGATAAACCCTGTTACCTGTTAGCTGCGGTATAGCTGCAAGTAAAGAATAAAAAGCTTTGACTCTAGCTTTAGCTTTGTCATGGACACACTGATCTAACCTTGGATTTTAATTCTTCAATACAAATGAACTATTTGGCCCTGGGCTACATTCATGAAACTGCAGACAGGAGGAATGACAGAAAGTCTTTAGAATGCTCAGAACACTCAGATGCTGATATTATGAACTATCCAAAGACTATAAAAACACTGCATTAGGGGCAGGAAATTTGTTTAGCAAATATTTCCTGTCACTGATGTAGATACTACCCTGTCCCTTTAGAACTATGTAGCAAGTCAGAAAAGCGAAATGATGATGGATATATACACCGTACACTGATGCATGTGATGGAGATACAGGAGAAAATGCGGGGTGACGAATAACATAGGGGAATCTGGTGGATGAACCTTGACTAGGTTAAGTCAAGAAGGCAGGCTGTCTGAGGCAAGAGTCAGGCCAAAGGAAAGCCCCAGAGCAAAGACAGGAGCAGATGCATTACTCTTAAGCGGGGGGAAACATGCTTTGACTATAGGCTACTAGCCCAGGGCTCTTATGTACCCTTTTTCACTTTTTTCCCTAGAAGTTTCTATTTTTCCTCCACACACATGCCCTCTCCTCTAGGTTTGGAAGTCTGAAGCTGGAGAAGTTGGAATACAGCTGCAACTGGAGTTTAGGGTTTGGTTTTGGGTTTATAAAACCTGACTTTTGACAGGAGAAGGGGCTTCTAAAGGGAGAGAAGAATCTAGCGCAGATGAAGAACTCTCATTAAAAAGGGGACTTTCAAACAACAACAACAAAAGGTAGAAATGGTATCCAATCCACAAGACAACATAGAATTCCTAAAGACTGGGGGATTGATTTCAATCAACCAATTTTAATTGATCTCAATTAATAATAAAACCAGTAGAGTTGGGATCTACCTTGTGACATGGCAAAATTCTACTGCAATCCTCTCGGTCATGTACCACTCACGTGGAAACATACGGCCATATTTCTCCTCATAGTCCACAAGTTGGCGTTTTATCCAGGCATAGCGTCTGTCGATTTTGTCCAGCCAGGCAACCTTAGGAAGGTAAGGAACAAAATCCACCCGGTGCTTAGAAGTAGTGTTGACATAATCAAAAACACAGAACTAAGAAAAACAGAACAAATCTCTATTCTCACAGTTTTTTGTTTTGTTTTGTTTTGAGATTTTTAAATTCATTTATTCATGAGACACACAGAGAGAGGCAGAGACATAGGGAGAGGGGGAGAAGCAGGCTCCCTGCAGGGAGCTTGATGTGAGACTCAATCCCAGGACTCTGGGGTCACATCCTGAGCCAAAGGCAGATGCTCAACCACTGAGCCACCCAGGTGCCCTATTTCTCCCAGTTTTATTTTATGTTATTTTTTAGACACGGAGAGAGAGAATCCCAAGCAGGCTCCATGCTTGGCATGGAACACAATTTGGGGCTTGATCTCACAACCCTGAGATCATGACCTGAGCCGAAATCGAGCTGGATGCTCAACTGACTCCTGAGCCACCAAGGAGCCCCTATTTCTCACAGTTTTAAAGAATCTAGGCTACTTTTTCACTTATTCCAGAGGTTATTAACTTGGGTCTATGTTAAACTATAAGGGTCTGTAAATATCCTAAAACTGTATGCAAAGTTTTATGCATAGGTACATTTTTCTGGGGAGAGTATGTGTAGCTCCCATTAATTTCTCCAAAAGGTCAGTGACCTCAAAATGGTTAAGAACCACCAACCTGTACAGTCAGCCCCTCCCAGGATTCACAGTTCAACCACCAACATTTTAAGGCAGTAGTACTATTAAAATATAAATCAGGGATCCCTGGGTGGCGCAGTGGTTTGGCGCCTGCCTTTGGCCCAGGGCGCGATCCTGGAGACCCGGGATCGAATCCCACATCGGGCTCCCGGTGCATGGAGCCTGCTTCTCCCTCTGCCTGTGTCTCTGCCTCTCTCTCTCTCTGACTGTCATAAATAAATAAAAAAATTAAAAAAATATATAAATCAGATTTGAGGGTACTTAATTGTCAATAAAATTCAAATGTAATATCAATTTGGTGTGATTATTACTTACATCTTGGTTTTCTTGAAAAAGTACTAGATATTCTGACAGATGCTGTTTGATAAATTTTTTGATGATTTCCTGTTTGATTCTAGGATCCAAAATATTAGCAACCAGACATGCATCTCGTAGCACATTGCTGGGTCCTCCTGGCCTCTGGTAAAACAAACAACACACACCAGTTCAAGAGCCAGATGCAACCTTTAAATCTCATGGCTTCTGACAGCTACTACTTCTTGTTCCTCTCTTGAAGACATTATTACTTCCACTCCCCTGACACTTATTCTTTTGCTGTGACTGGATATTTTACTTATTAGTCGATGAAAGAATTATTAAGCTAGTCCGTAGCAGCCAATATAAAAGCTACTTTGTGAGTCAGCAAGGAGACATCTTGGAAACAGAGGCAGCAATGGTCATAGGAAATTATGCTTTCTGAATACAAAACTGAAATCACCTTGGTGAAGAGCCATAAAATTCAGAATGACACTGGTCTCACCCCACATGTGCCATTTCCCCCTGATTCCAACCTCAGGTTCCTGTTCTTAGTGACAAACAATGCAGTGGCATTTAAAATCTAAAATCAAGTTCTAAACTACCAGACTTGTTTTGCTGACAGTCAACTACCCACAAAGGTAGCCAAAGGTAAAACATGATATTGGCCCCTTGATCTGAAAGGCAATGGAAGGTTATTGAGGGCCATACTGATACATCATGCTGGAAAGGCCTTTGTTATTACTGAAGCCAATTCAATTTCACTGAACTTTTCTTTGTAGTAACTTACTGAACGAACATGAACATGGTTGGATGAGTGGACTATAGCAAAAAAGAACACCGGGAATCTACTCTTGGTTGGGCTAAATAGCTGTGTAGCTTTGGTACAGTTATTAAAACTTATCTGAAAAATAAATGAAAAAGAAAAGGGCTTCAATTAGGTGATGATTAATGTTCTTCCAAATCTCTATGATTCTTCTGGGTAAACTCTGTCCAATAATGTATCTGTCTCAACTGAAGTTCAAGAGTTTTTAAATTTACCAAGTTGCCTGAGAGCTAAATTGTTAAGATGCTGACTCGCTCTGTGCTGAGTGGTTGTTATGTCATCTGCTGAGTGCTCTGACTGCCCACCTCTTGTTTCTGGATGAAAGTGCTTGATCTGATAGAGAAGACACAGAAACTGAAACCGATGGGCTCATGGATTCAGATATTTTCATTTAAAAAGGGCTTAGGTTACCTTGCACAATTTTAATGTCTTGATTTCTATTTGTGAAAGAGGAATAGCAATATAAGGCCTTTAAGAAAAGTCAATAGTCATTGAAAGGGAAAGTAGAAAACTTAAAAAAAAAAATTAGGTTACCCAGCTACAGAAAAAGGAAGCAAGTTGTTAAAAAAATTTTTTTTAATTTCATCTGCCTGGTGGGATCTGAGAAAAAGACATAAAGTAGATCAAGATTAGTTTCTTCTGAACAATAAAGCTGGGGCTTCATTCATATCTTTCTGAACCGTTTTGCAACTGGGCTAGAATATATAGTAAAGCAGACCTTGGACTAAGAAAAGTCTGGTGCTTATAGTTTGTGAATATCTTGCAATTCCTTTTTACAGAATGGCCTTCCAACATCCATTCTCCACAGTTATATCAAATGAATAAAGAATATAAAGTCCTGAAAGGAACATATTTTACAAATGAAATATCTGATTACTAGAAGGCAGCCATTATAGATGCAGACATTAAAATCAAGAGCAGGTTTCCTACAGGAAGTAATCTACAAAGTTGGGGCAGCTACCCCCACCTACTTCCTAAGTTTCTTTTATGGAGCACAAAGAAAAATGATTAAGATATTTCCAGTTATTGAATTATACAGCAGATCCAGGAAACGTTCCTTGGCTCAGTAAATGAACATCTATCCCCATCTCTACCCACCAAATGCAGTGAGGAATGCTGCTTGCCTGTGTGTACTTCGGTTTGTTTCTGTGTTGAATAATTTGTTCTCTTGAAATGCTCAAATAATAGAGGAAAAAAACTTCTGAAGATTCTTCTCTCCCTGACACATGCAACGCATTAAAATTACATCTGCTACAATTTGAAAGACAGAACTAAAAGCAGTTACCCAAGAACAATGACAGCCAACTGAGGCAAAGCTTGTTATGGGAGAAGGGTAACCATAGCTCACAAGCGAAATACCATGGCCTTCGCAGACACAACACAAACAGCTATGCTACCAGCAAGAGCTAAAGGGATTACTCCTAAAGAACAGGATTCTGATCATTAAAAGTAAGTCTCTTAACTGTGTCACTTTGAGAGTTACATAAGCCTGTGGATGCTCCTCCCAGCCATCTTTTCGCCAAAATGAAACCAGTAAGTTATGTAATGATCCTAAAAAACACTGTGGTTTGAAAAAAAAATGTTTTTTTTAACACAGCCATGAGAAAAAAGGAATTTGCTAGGCAGATGAGATATTAGGTTTGACACACATTAAATTAAACCAAAATAAATCCTCATTCTTTGATGTTTGGAAGAACACAGATGAAGAATCAATGTTGCTTTGGGATATTTAAAATCAAGGATGGTCTTATTACCCTGAACCTCTAGCAAATAGACTTACAGCTGCCAGCAGACACTTTTGGAAGGATAAAGGAAGAATAACAGTAGCGGGTGTGAATTAGGCAAGAATGGTGATAATGTCTAAGATTGGCGGGAAAACAATACCTTGGTGCCTTGGGAAGGAAACGCTTCTTCAAAATCAGCCAGGATTTGCTGTCCTAATTCAGTCTGGGCAGCCTTCACTCTGTAGGGAAAAGAGAACATGTCACTGCCTGGTGTAATATTCATATATCCATAAGGAACTATGCAAAGATTGATCAGGCTCAGAACCATTAAAGTCTTTAGAGATCATCCAGGGAACAGGGAGGTGGTAGCTAGATAGGAGAGGTCGCATACTAGTTAGTAGCAGATTTATGACCAGAACCCAGGCATCTGATTTATTCTCATGATGGATTTTCTATATCCCAAAGTTCTTCTAGGCCACTCTGCTATGAGGGAGTATATGTTAATCTTTACAAGGTATTATCAGAGGGTAGTTATGCTTGGGAAAATGCTACATAAAAACACCCAATCCAATAGAAATCTATGTGGGGTTACTGCTATAGCTGCACCCCTGCTCCTTGGAGTCCAGAATGCAGGAGGGCTCCATAATGCCTCAGAGAGGTTTCTTTTTCACCCTGCAAGCCAACTTCAGGATCCTGTTTTAACAAATGAACAAAAGGAGGGTTGCCTGGGTGGCTCCATTGGGTAAGCCTCTGACTCAGTTTTGGTTCAGGTCTATACTCAGTGGGGAGTCTGCTTCAGATTCTCTCTCTCTCTCCCTCCTGCTCTCGTGTGCTCTCTCTCCCTCAAATAAATAAACACAATCATTAAAAAAAAAAAATTGGGGATCCCTGGGTGGCGCAGCGGTTTGGCGCCTGCCTTTGGCCCAGGGCGCAATCCTGGAGTCCCAGGATCGAGTCCCACGTCAGGCTCCCGGTGCATGGAGCCTGCTTCTCCCTCTGCCTGTGTCTCTGCCTCTCTCTCTCTCTCTCTGTGTGACTATCATAAATAAATAAAAAAAATTTATAAAAAAAATGAACAAAAAGAATGTTTTCTAAAGTAAAAAGAAAAAGCTCCAAAAGATAAAATGAGCTGTAGTGTGGGAGTGAAGGCCATTGAATGAAGATGAAATTCATGCCCACTGACAACCAAAACAAGCTAGCTTGAAAGGGGAGGTCAACCTGAACTTAACCCAGTGATCTGTGTGTCTACCAGGAACTCAAGAAATAATTGTCACACTGAAATAAGAGGAGAAGCAGTTGGGATAAGAAAGGAACTGTGCATGTCAGCACCACCTGCAGTGACCATGTCCTTCAGTCGCCAGGAGCTAGATGCCTTGCACCAGTCATTCATTCCCACAGAGCTGACTGCCCTGAGCCCGAGGCAAATATTTTACCTTTGCTAAAAGCACCATAAAACAATGTTCTTCCTTTTTTGGTCTCCACCCTGTTACTTTGGAATTAACTGTAAAGTTTCTAGAAATAGCAAGCAGCTCAAAACCACAATTTCTTTGGCTATTTAGCGGTGGCTGGCAACCTACTGAGAATTTTTTTTTTTTTAATGAGGGGATAGGGAGGACCCCAAACAATCTGTTTTTTTCTGTGGCACAGTTGTAATTATGCTTTACTCCAAATACTTTCCAGGATTTTTCCACTATCTTCAAAACTTTTAAAACCACTCTTACAGGTGGCTTTGCAGCCTCTTGAGTCACTCAGTGACAGAGGTAATGCTATTATTGGAGTAGCCCCCAAATCACAAGTAGGGCCATCCATCTAGAGTTGCCAAATGGACAATAGGAAGTATGCTTTGAGTATGAGCTCTGACAGGAGTGAAGAGAACTTGCTTTTGCAAAACTGTACCTCAGAGGTCTTGTGACTCCACATAATGGGCCTGGCAGACAGCCTCCCCTGGTGCCAGGTCACAAGACAGAGCTTCCAGAGGCTCAGGCCCCTCTGTCCTACTTGCTTCTTGGCAACACAAAGAGAGCACCAGTTCCTTCCTAAGCCACAAGGACAATTCCTGCAGGGGAAGTTCTTACACTCATCGGGGACATTTCCAGTCATATTCTCAAGGCTCCTGAGCATCTCGGTGATATGAAGGTTCCATCTCTGCCTCTCACCTTTCCCCCTTCAGCCCTTAACTCCATATTCTTGCTGAGGTGCTTGAAAAGACAACCAGAGCCTATGGCAAGGTTTGGTATTTCCAGAGTGCAGAAGACAGGAGAAGTACCAGAGTATGATTTGCAGATCCCCTTGCCATCTTCTCTAATCCATTTTCAAAGTCACGTCTTGAGACAGTCTAGACTTGGCCGTGCCACCAGTGAGCCATTTCCCTTAGGATAAGTCATTTCCTTATATGTGTCACAACTAAGATTTGTGAAGGAAAAGGTGGGGGATGCAGGCCTGGACTTTCACTGTCTTCTCCAAGACTGACCATTCCCCAACACCCACCTTTACAGCACTAACTGGTAACAGCAGACACCTTCACAGGTGACTGCAAGTTGGATGTATAATTAATGTTGGAGCACAAGAATAGGCTTCAGAACATAAATATTTCCATGGGACATACACGTTTCCAAGTATAGCTTTCAAAGTGTCAATCAGTGTACTCAGATGAAAGAGTGACCATTTCCCTTACAGACATTAACAACAACATCAGGGGATCCCTGGGTGGCGCAGCGGTTTGGCGCCTGCCTTTGGCCCAGGGTGCGATCCTGGAGACCCGGGATCGAATCCCACGTCGGGCTCCCGGTGCATGGAGCCTGCTTCTCCCTCTGCCTATGTCTCTGCCTCTCTCTCTCTCTCTCTCTCTCTCTCTCTCTGTGACTATCATAAATAAATAAAAATTTAAAAACAAAACAAAACAAAAAACCAACAATATCTATAAACCCAAACCATAATTCCATGCATTTTCAGGGTGAGATGTGAATAGCAGTCTTTACAATCAGTTGCCTAAACAGGATCTGAGAAAGAAATCAACACTAAAAAAACACATCTTTGGCTAAACTCCTTCCTCTTTGAAAACCAAAAAGTTCCTATTGTAAAGAGATGGAGCAACTGAGACTCCATTAGCAGAAGAGAGTTGAGCTACCATGATTTTTAAGAATAATTAGGAAATTTATCTACAACTAATAGAGAAGAGAGTGAATAAAAATTCATCCTGGTATTCAAATAAGCTCAGTCCATTTGGGTGTGACAACTCAGTGTTGATCACACTTAGGAAACAAAGGAGTCACTCTGCTGCTCAGAAAGGGAAGGTCAATCAACTGACTTCTAGCACTCTCCATGCCATTTGACAAAGGTGATCTTTCCTAAAACTGTGTAATCAGTTTACATAACAGGTAGCAGCAGCAGAATATAGTAAATTATGAAAATTATTTAGACATTTGTGGATAAGGTAATCCTGATGCTTCTGCTACCTTATGAATGACTGCCCTGAGGGAAACACCCTCAGCACTTCACAGTAAGTTGACCTCCCAAACACAGTCTGTACTGGACAGAATGGTTAACTAGTCAGATTGGTCAGACACTCTATTTCCAAACAGGCCCTATAAAGAATCCAAACCCCGAATCTTAAGTGTGATTCCATGGGACAATGAAGTACAACCCTTACACTTTTGAAACTGAAGTTCTTTCAGAAAGAACTTGTCAAAGTCCCATAGCTATTCAGGTCTTTTCATTCTCTGATTTTTTTCACTGCTACACAATGTGATAGTACCCACCCTCCCAACCTGCCAAATATCTCTCACATCTAAGAGGTTAACTATAGCCCTGAAAAATACTTTTTAGTTCGAGAGTTTTACGAGTTTCAAAAGAATGCAAGAATCTTCCACTCTTTCTCAAGAAATATTGACTGATTACTAGAAATATTTGCTTTTATGGATATTCTTAAGCCAGGAGGCTCTGAATGTAAAGATGATATTAATGAAAAAAAATATTTCCTTCAATGCAACATTAACATTTAAGCATTTTCCAGAAGGGTAGTTGGAAGAAATAGTCATATTCAAATCAAGGTCTATGAACTTCATATTTCAAATGTACAGGCAATGGTTTCAGAGCACAAACTTTCATGTGATTTCTACGATTTATAGACAGCAAGCTATTAAATTGGAGAAACTAAAGCAATACACAGAGTACAGCTCTGCTGCCCTCTCCCCTGCCCCTCAACAAACAGCTACTTCTATCATTTCCAGATGGTTCTACCATCACTATGCAAACATAAGGGAGGAGAATTCACCAGAAAAGACGCTAAAAATAAGAAATCTGGACTTTCCTCCAACTTTTAGTACCTCTTGAAAAACAACTGTAATCAAGCACTGAAAACCAGAGAGCTCTTCTCTCGTTTTGTTTTTTGTTACTTAATAGCACATATTTATATTTATTCTTTTTAACCCATACAAAATTTTTGCAAATAGAAGTTGTGAAACGAAAGTTAAGTCCTCCCATTTGCAGCAATCCTACATGGTAATGAATGTTCACACACACTGCTAGCATGTTAGATTTTTTCTCTTTTTAAGGAGAATGTTTTATAGCAATGATCACAAAGTTCCTTCAAATTATAAAACCACTTCTTTGAAAAATGTTAAAAAGCAGAGTCCTAAAAGACTGTATCCTCTTGTTTGTCCCTACATTACTTTTTTAGGAACAGAATTCAGTTCTGCCATATTCCTGCCATCAACAATGTCCATCCAACACAACCAATTAGTAACCAGCTCCTCCGCAGATCTCCTTGACCTCATGGTCACTGTCCTGGTAAGGTTCTTATCTTTTCTAGTCTAGAACATAGTCCCAATCTCCAGTCTTCTGTACCTACAATACATAAGACTTTTACAAAACACAAATGAGAGCATGTCCCTCCCTGCTTAGGATCTTTCACTGTCCATGAAACAAAGAACAGATTCTTAGGCAAGGCATATAAAATCTGATCCTACCTACCTATGCAGACTTTCACACTTCACTGTCTCCCAAAGTTCCATGATGTCCTCTTTCTCCTTTTTTCCTCCTCTTCTTGTCTTGCTGGTAAGATCCTAGCTATTCTTTTAAGATCAGATGAAAACTGAATTCTACTGTGACCCCTAACCTCAGCCCCTGAAGGCTGAGTCTTTCAATTTCTTTTACTGCTTGTACAGCATCTACCAGTTTTGTTGTATCTATGCCATACTAAAATTTTCTACTAGTGTCTCCTCCACACAACACCAGTGAACCTCCCTGAGGGCAGGGAGTATACATTTCCTACTTTGTGCCTTCGGTACCTCAGCATGGGCCCCAGGACATACAAAGTCCTTAGTATATATCTCTTAGGTAAATGAAGGAAAGAATCAGTTAACGGGAAAAAAAGATCAACTCTGGATTATCACAAGAGTAAGGGGAAGTGATAGTGCCTTCCCTTCTCCTCCATCCCCTGGGAACAAGTCTGCCCTCTCTAGCCAAGCTTCCTTCTTTTTGGCAGCTTAAAAGGCCCTGTTTGTTTGCTCCTTGGGCTACTCCACGCCCCCAGTGTGATATGGCAATTGGCCAGCTCTAAGTGTGAGGAGTTAGGAAGAATGGCGGACAGGGTGGTGATTTCCCTAGGATTCCGCCAAACTCTGTTCTTACACTCCCTACTGGCTCTCTGGCACTTCCACTATAAGATGGCACACTGAGCACATGTTGTCATCTCTTCTTCCTGCCCCAGATCCCTAGAAATAATAAAAGATATTAAGAAAAATCCAGAACCAGGCAAGAAAAAGAAGTGGTGCACTAGAAACTCAGGACTGCCTGGTAGCACAGAATTGAAGGAAACCATTGCTGAAACTGCTTTTCAAAAATGAAAGACAGGAGGGTAGCAGACAATGAGAGCAGGAGGGGCCCTGAAGCAAATGGTAGCAGGATATGTTGGGCTCTTGCAAGAGGAGTAACAAAGTCAGTCTCCAGGTCTGCATCCCTGCCTTGAACGCTCAGGTCAAGGAATGGTATGGGTCTGAGAACCCCAGGAGTGACCAGAAGGCAGATGAAGAAGCCCACAAGCGATTTACGATTTATGGGAGATGCTACTGCCCGACCACAGGGCTGGGACAGGGGGAAAGAAAAAAAAAAAGAAGCCCACAAGCACAGATTAACCACTGGCATATCTACCTGGCAGCTCCTCCAGCTCCAGCCCCACCACACCTTCTTAGAGCTATCTATGGCCCTTAGCTGAGCAGCGCATAGCCCCCTTTCCCTCACTAGCCAGTGGCAATAAAAGAGCATCCTTGATCAGGATGAAAGAATCTCAAAGTCAAAAATAAGCTTTCATCTACAAATCACCAAACACTAGAAGAATGCTAATGCCAAGAAAAAAAGTCACCATGCTCAATAAACTGAAGACCTGCTATTAGAGGACAAAGAAACAGGACAGGCAACTCAGAGGTTTAAAGTACATAGAGGGCAGCCCCGGTGACTCAGCAGTTTAGTGCCACCTTCAGCCCAGGGCATGATCCTGGAGACCTAGGATCAAGTCCCACATTGGGCTCCCTGCATGGAGCCTGCTTCTCCCTCTGCCTGTGTCTCTGCCCCTCTCTTTCTCTCTCTAGTCTCTCATGAATAAATAAATAAAATCTTTAAAAAAAAAAAAAAGTACATATAATCTGGGATGACTGGGTGGCTCAATTGGTTGAGTGAGTGACTCTTGGTTTTGGCTCAGGTCATGATCTGAGGGTTGTGAAGATCAAATCCTGTGCTGGGCTCTGTGCTGGGCACAGAACCTGCTTAAGAGTCCCCCCTTCCCTCCTCCTCCCTAAAAAAAAAAAAGAAAAAAAATCTAAGAAATATGGCAGATCTAGAAGTTCCAATATTCGTGTAATAGGAATGCCACATAGAAAGAGCACAGAGAACAAAGCATAGAAACTACTCAAAGAAATAGAAGAAAATGATTTCTCAGAACTTAAACTCATGAGTCTTCAGATTGAAGATATGGTAAGTACAGACCAACTTGAAGGACAACACACCTACACCCTAGTAAAATTCCTGACCATCCTCCTGACCCAATCTCAAGTGCTTCTGGAGCAAAATAAAAATCAAATTAGGGCAGCCCTGGTGGCCCAGCGGTTTGGCGCCACCTTCAGCCTGGGGCGTGATCCTGGGGACCTGGGATCGAGTCCTGCGTCGGGCTCCCTGCGTGGAGCCTGCTTCTCCCTCTGCCTGTGTCTCTGCCTCTCTCTCTCTCTGTGTCTGTCATGAATAAATAAATAAAATCTTTAAAAAAATCAAATTAAAATAGATTACCTTATAAAGGAGTAAGAATCAGACTGACCAGATTTTTAATAGACAACAAGAAATACCAGAAAATAGATTTACCTATTCTAACAGCCAATGGGTAGAAGCAACCTGTGTGTCCATTCACAGAAGAATGGATAAACGAAATGTAATAAACACACACACACACACACACACACACAGACTCACACACACACGCACACTGAAATATTCAGCCTTAAAAAGGAATGAAATTCTGATGCATTCTACAACATGGATGAACCTTGAAACACTGTACTAAGTAAAATAAGCCAGACACAAAAGAACAAATATTGTATGATTCCATTTATGAGAGGTACCTAAACTAGGCAAATTACAGAAACATAAAAGAGAACACAGGTAACCAGAAGTGGGAGAGAGGAGGTAATATGGGTTATTCTTTAATGAATAAGAGTTTCTGTTTCAGGTAATGAAAAAGTTTTAGAAATAGAAGTGGTGATGGCTGTACAATATTATGAATATATACTTAATGCCACTGAGTTCTACACTTGAAAACTATTAAAATGGTAAATTTTATGTTATTTATATATTAACATAGTTAAAAAAAATAAAAGGAAGTAGGAAATCTGAATAGTCCAATTACCATGGAAGAAATTGCAGTGAGAGTCAAAGATCTGCCTTCAAGATAGATAACATGCCCAGATGGTTTTACAGGCAAGGTCTACCAGCTCTGCCAAATATTAACTTCTAGAATATATAGAGAACTCTTACATAACAATAAGGAAAAAAATAACCCAATAGACAAAGAGACAATACAGGTAAACAGGCATTTCATAGGAAATGCAAATGGCCAACAATCAAAGGGAAACGAGTCTCAGTAGTCACCATAGAAATGGAAATGAAAGGAACCTGATGTTATTTTTCATCCTTCAGTTAAATAAAAAAGGAAAACTGACAATATAAAGCATGCTGAGGGTATGGGGAAGTGGGTACTCACATACTGCGTAGATGGTTACTATAAATAGATAAAACCTCTTGGGAGGGCAAGTGGGCAGTTATTAAAATTTTAATTGCATTTTACCAATGACCCAGAACCTATCCTAGCAAAATATTTACAGACATGCAATAGCTTTTACAAATTAGAAGCAAACAATCAGTGATATGAAAATGGTTAAATAATCTGTGGTATGTTATATTATGGAATTGCAGGCATCAATTAAAAAAGAACAAGGTAGGTCTGTACATATCAATGTGGAAAAATCTCTAAAATACATCACAAGGTTAAAACCAAAAAGTTTCAGAATGAAGCATATGGTGTGAAACCATTTATTCAAAACAAAACATAACAAAACCACAAATTGAAAGTACAGATTTATGTAAATGCACATAAAAATCTAGAGGGATACACATTAAATTAAAAAGTCACTACGTCACTATCTGTATATAGGTAGCACTAGGATCTCAGCTATAGCTAACGGAGACTTGAGTTTCATCTGTGTATTTGATTTTTTAAAAAATAAAGAAAATGCATATCTGTATTATTTACATGATTAAAAATACAGAAACTTAACAAAAAAAGAGGCCTGTAGTAATCAGGCATCATTAGGAAGACAGAAATAAGAATGATGGCTACTGCTAAAGGCCTGCCTCTTTGTTCAAGAAAGGTTAGGATTCCTTAATCGTGATCAGCTCTACCTTCTCAGTATTCTTTTGGCTGCTACTTCTAATAGAAAAGACACTGAATTCACTCTCCCCTTACTCTCCTTCAGAAGCTTCCTCTTCCTTCTAAGTATCAGGCTTTCTTTCTACTGGCTCTGGATCCGGGACTGGAACTCAGATAGAGGTAGGAAGAAAGAAGACGCTAGCTAAGTCATCATTTTGTCACATCTGAAGTTCTAGTGGCAAATGAGATTTTTCAAAAGTTGCTACAGCAATATGACCAATCCCATATGCTTTTTTTGTCAATGGGACTTTGACATTCCTCCCAGTGAGGGGGTGGGGTAGACTACGTTCCTTCCTCCCTAATCCTGGCAGCCCTGTGAGTACCAGAGTGATGCTGTGTGACTTCCAAGGCCTTGTTCTCTTGGGAGGCTCATTCTTGGGACCCAGCCACCTTGCCATGAGGAAGTCCAAGCAGCCCATGGAAGATAACTCAGCTGAGCTCTCAGTGGACAACAAGTACCAACCTGCCAGGCACAAGAGTGAGCCATGGATCCCTCAGGCCTCTCCTGGCCCACCCCAGCTGATGCTGCATGGAGCTGAGGTGAGCTGTTCCTGCCAAGGCAGGTTAAATTACATGAGTAAAATATTCGTGTTTTAAGCCACTAAGTGTGGTGGTGGTTTGTTATAAGGAAATACTGTGGTTCGTGAGGGAAACAGTTTCCCTCACAAATGTGGACAACCAAGAGCTGGACAACCACATATATAACTCACCAGCTACCCCTCTAGTGATGCCAGGCCAGCAATTACATGGTAAAAAGTTGGAAAGGGGTATAGTGGACATCTATATCACACAGACTTACATCAGATCACATCTGAGGTTCCTTCTTACAAGATTTTGCGGTGAACATACTGACCTAAATGCTGAAGTGCATCCTAGCACCATCTTTTCTTAAAGCAGAAGACTGTTTTCTCCAATGACATTTTACCTTTCAGAAAGCTGCCGGATCTGTGGAATTCCCATATACTTGTGGAAATGCTCCAGAACATTCATCACACCTTGAAGAAGGTTAGCAACTTCTCCATACTGTCTTCGCCTGGTCATGGCTCTGCAAGGAAATAAATTGAGAAGGTAGAAAAACACCATGACACAAGATATAGATATGGAACCACCTATCCTGAGCTCCATAATAGAGCAACTCGATTTTAGTCACCATTCACTGAGCACTGAATATATATGGTCCTGCACACTGGAGGTGAAAGAAAATAAGACCTGGCCCAAATCCTCAAGGTGACATCGTTTAGTGAGACAGAGTGCCAAATACCATCTAACTAATACCAAGTACGATAAACTGAGTTCTAAACAGAATTACACGTTATATGCTATAGAAGATAAAAAAGAATGTGTGAGTGATGGATTCTCATTGGGTGGGGGCAGGGAATCTGGGAAGATTTAGGTTGGGTATTATGGGATTAGCAGGCTTTAGACAGAAAATAGGGATAGGAATGTTACTATTTGAGGATTACAGCACGGGGCAAACCAAACACATCTTCCTAGGCTACAACAAAGGGCATTTATATGTTAACTCAAATCTGTAGATTTTAAGCCAATGTTAAGCACCTCTTTCTACTTCTCTATTACTAAGGTTAATGAAGCTTCAGTAAAAGGATGCTAATAGAAGGACAAACTTTTAGATCTAAATTATTCAGTAGAGTTGGGCTTTTACACTAAATGTATAATATATTACTTTCCTTAAGAGACACTAAAAAAAAGAGGCATTTAAAAAGAGGACCAAGTTCAAGCCAACATGTTACCGTAATACCACAGCCTGGTCTCATAGTCTGGTGGGAAGGGACATCCGGAGCATCTGGAGCAAGGGACAAGGAAACTGCTCTTCCAGTCTCCCACTGGCTGGCTTACATCTCTGACTGCTACTTGCAGGAAGATGGGCTAGAGTTCGCTGGAGCTCACACAATGCCTGGAGAGACCAGGAAGGAGTTTGACCCTGTCCTCCCTCTAACTTCAGATGCTGCATCCAAATTTCTGTGAAGATTCTATGTCCTCACATGAGATTCCACTGAGGCTGGGGCAGGGGGAATTCTCAGCCTGAGACAGACAGCAGAAGTGAACTGGCATGTCAGAATCTTGCTAGTAAAAAAGGCCTCTGGATTGTTTCTTGTAATAAATAATCAGCTCTTCCTTTTAATACAATTTCTAATCTCATGCATCATTCCCTATAGCTCCCCTATGAAGCAAACAAGATACTAATGCCTTTGAAAAAGTGGGTTGAAAAAAAAAGTGGGATGAATGATAAATCAAAGCTCTCTTTATTTATTTTCAACCTCTGTTTCTATATGGATCCAACAGTATTGCAACTCAGCCCAGCACAAGTAGGAAAACCTGCCAAGACAGGGGCTACAGGGAGCAGTTATAGTCCTGAATGACCTTGTTGGCCTTAATGGCAGAGATTTACCACATTTCAACAAGCCATAGTTTTGGAATCATCCTCCACATGCTATCTGGGTCCCCTTCTCACTGACTTGCACCTCAAAGTTTCAGGTGTTTGTCACATTTTGAACACCAGAGGGCATAAAGCCAAATAGTAGCTAAACATTTGAGACCCATTTGCAGGAAGTGGGGCAGGACGGTGAGCCTTCCCTGGCCGAGAAGTAAAATACCTATAATGCCATTTTATTTCCGTGGCACATTCATTTCCTGTGGACCCCAAAGAGAAAGGTGACACTGCTTACTCGAGCGAATCCACACCACCTGCTAACATGTGCAGGTGGTTCAGTGTTGTGATTGAGGTGGTCAGGTGGCGTTTGGCATGATCTAGCTGCTTAATATCGCGGGTGATTTCCTTAACCTAAGTAGAAAAAAAAAAAAAAACGGGAGAAAAAGGATGAAGGTTAAGAAAGATGTATATCCATTTGCAGGTAGCTCCAAAAGAAAATAAGGCAAATGAAGCAAGGAAAAAAAAAAAAAAAACCCAGGTTAGCCTCTGGAGAAAACACATTCTCATCATATAAAATCAAAATACCTTCTAATCAGTCCATTTAAATCTCATTTGGCATTTCTTCAGTTGACCCTACCCAGAGGTACAAAGCCTTCAACTGCGAGGAACAAAATGAACTTTATTTTTTGCCCCAAATGGAGGGATCCAAATAGCAAGTTAATATGAAGCATACAAAGTCCAGGGAGCCAAGTTTGGCACACCTCCTCTTCAACAAGGTCAGAAAAGAATGCATTCTGATCAGGGTGGGGGAACTACCAGGTTTGAAACAAAATGGGTGGTTGGCTATTTCTATTGAAATGATCTTTATTCATGGAACTAGGATTTACTGCCCCATATCCAGAAAAAAAAAAAAAAAGGCTTTCTCTGAAATCTCAAGAAGACTAAAACGTAACCCCTCTGTGGTGAGTACTTAATATGTACTGTCACAGAGGAGATGTGAAGTCTTCAGGGGCAAGAAGATAACTGGGGGAGTAAAAAATTCAGACAGTGTTGACTCAATGAAATCCAAGAGAAATAAACTGTACCTGGAATACAAGTATATATTTCAGTCACCAAAAAAGCATATTCAGTAGTGAAGTGGGAACAGTGCTCCAACTTTACTAACACCTAGGTAGAATGTTCCACTAAACTGCCTAAGTTCGTGTTGATCAAGAAACTTTCTGAAAAGCAATTTGGTATCCCAGGTTCTTTGATACCTTGAAGGAAGGGAGTGCCCTGGATACTAAGCACAAACATTCTAGTCACTGGAAAGATCTACCTCCCATTAAAAGTGAAAAACACTAGAAAGATCTACCTCCCATTAAAAGTGAAAAGTGAAAGAGTTAAGTTAATATGATCTGATTTTTCAGAGTTTGATCACCCCAGGTAAATCCATAAAGTAAAGATTATGACCCTCACAACTTAGTTCCACAAACCTGCTAAGCTAACTTGGATCTTGGCAGTAAAAGTCTCTCTCATGGAGACTTCCCGATCAAGCCTGCTCTCTCTCTAACTCACAGGCCCTCAAAGTATCTCTACTTCTATTACCTGGGGGTGGAGGTGGAAGGGGGAAATAGGTTAAGAATTTACCACTTCTCACGTCTTCAGGGAATGACTGAGCTTAGGGAAAAAGAAGATCAAGAGTAGTATAGTGGGGGCACCTGGGTGGCTCAGTGGTTGAGCATCTTGGCTTAGGTTGGGTCCTGGGATCAAGTCCCACATCAGGCTCCCAGCAGGGAGCCTACTTCTTCCTCTGTCCACGTCTCTGCCTCTCTCTCTGCGTCTCTCATAAATGAATAAATAAAATCTTAAAAAAAAAAGAAAAGTGGTATAGTGAACAGGAGTTTGGCTCTAGAATCTGATAACCCACTTCCAACACTGAAATTGTCACCGTGTTCTCCTACAGAAAAATCCTGCACCTCTTCTAAGGTTCCTTAGCTCCAGTGCTAACATCAGGGAGTCCTTTCTCATTCCCGCGTTACTAGCAGTCATTAAATCCTGAGTATTCAGAATCCTGTGCCTCATCACAAAAAACTGTCCCTTTCTACTCATCCGTCAGACCCTCCCTCGAGCTCTGTACCAGAGCTCATCAGGCTCTACATTCCCAGGACCTCCCATCTTTACCCATCACATATTCTGTGCTTCTCCACACAAACCAAACTACTTGATATTCTCTAAACACCCTTAATGGCAACTCATGGAAAGGATGTTCAGGTCAAAGTCACAGAGATCATTACACAAATAAAATATCCATAGTTAAGGTGCCTTAATTGTCAGCCAAGGGCAGCCAAAAAAGGACAGAACACGAGATGGCAGGTTTTGGAGTTAGGTAGCTCTAAGGCTGAATCTCAGCTATTCCACTCACCAACTCTGTATCCTAGAATAAGCTACTTAGCCTCACTGAGTCTCCGTTTTCTCATCTATTAATATGGGTAATCACAGGGGCACCTAAGTGGCTCAGTGAGTTAAGTGTCTCCCTTCAGCTCATGTCATGATCCCGGGGTCCTGGGATCGAGTCCTGCATCGGGCTCCTTGCTCAGCGGAGAGTCTGCTTCTCCCTCTGCCCCTCCCCGCTGCTTGTAGGCTTGCTCTCGCTCTCTCTCTCTAATAAATAAAATCTTTTTAAAACGATGAGTAATTCTAAAAATAATAATGATAATAAAACTTAGTTCACAAATTTGCTGTGAGAGCTAAATTAGATCACTTATATAAAGCCATATCTATGGCAAAGTATTTGGCACATTGAAGGAGCTCAACAAATGTCAGTTCTCTCTTTAATCCTACCCCTTCCTCCCTTTAGCAAAAGCACTATTTAGGAGAGCAAACTGCTTTAAAATAAGACACATACTAACTTTTGCTCTTCAATTGCCTGTGGATGGTGCTAAGGCAGTGCATCCTTGGGGAAAGAACCACAGAGCAAGTCCCTCTCAAAGACTATTTCACTCTGTGACAAAGCATGATTAATTTTTTTCCTCTGATGAAGGAGTACTCTTCCTTTGACCCCTCGTTTGGTAGTTAAGGCCTGAAACACCGCCTGCCCAGGAAGAGGAATAGGAAGAGCCAACAGGTAAGAACAGCACCTGGCAGGATCTCAGTGTCTCCACCCCAGCTCTAGCTCTCAGTCTCTGCCTTCCTACTGGCCATTTTGGATGAGGAGGCCTTGGTGGGCAAGCCAGCACCAACTGATCCTTACTCAGGGCTTATGTGTGTCACACATCATCTCATTTAATTCCCACAATTCTATGATGTCCCCAGGACTATTATCTCCATTTTACAGTGATGAAACCAAGGCACAGAGAGATTAAATAACTTGCCACAGTTAGTAAGGAGAGGGGTTGGATCTCAACCCAGGCAGCCTGACTTCAGAGGTCATGCTTTGCACCACTCATCAAATTGCCCATCCCCCTCCCACTCCACATCCTTTCCTATCTTGCCAAATGGCCACTGAAGAGAGCTGAATGATACACAGAAACGTGACATCAGATCTGTTCTTGTAGTAAATTAGAATAGGATGTAGGGTGACAAGACTGTAAGGATCTGGGAGTTTTTGTAACCAAAAGAAGTTGGCAGCCAGGGAGGGGTAGGAATGACATTAATAATGGCTTCTATAAGCCTGGTACTATGCTCATACATTTAATTCTTCAACAATTCTTTAAGGCAGGTATTACTGTTCTTATTTTATGGTTGAAAAAAATGGAATTCAGAGGTAATTCAAAGACATGACATTATGCGGTCAGAATGTAAGGACAGGAGCTAACATTTTATAGTGTTCCCCCATGAAGTAGGAGTGGGTGAGGCTGGATTCTCAGTGAGCAGAGAGGCCCTCCTGAGTACATCACCAGAGAACACAAATTTGTCAAGGGAGAACTTAATCAAAACCATAAGCACATTTCATGGCAGGATACATCCCACCTCCCAGATCCAGACCAGTTTTCATGCTATATGAAGTTATATATCATATATCTTAACTGAGAAATACATGATACATACAGATGCCAGAAAAAGGAATCCAAAATAACTAGAAAACTATTTTGGGGAGAGAAGAAAACTTTTCCTATTTAAAAACAGGGCTGCAAATGTAGGGCAGCAGGGATGGTGAGTCACTGCATGTGCAGCTCTTCTTGAATCAATCTGGAATGTACTCATAGGGCTTGCTTTAGAGAAGTGGGTGCTGTGGTTGGCAGCAAGTGGGAGAAAAAGCCCATTAATTAGTATGACTGGACAAGAACCTAACTTCCTCTTCTAGTGCAAAAAAGTTCGAAAGAAACCTAAACTCACCATTTGCTCCGACTTTTCTGCTTTGTCTTTGATATCTTTGATTTTGCCAAAGAGTTGCTGAATAGCTTTCTGGGCCTCTTCAAGTGCCTAGAATAAGAGAAATAAATGACAAACAAGAAGCAACCCGAGACACCAGTCACTACACTACAATCAAGTCTAGCTTCAGAAGAAAACTACCATAAAGTTCTTTTGATTCATTGTACTTATGTATATGATTTTACTGCACCAAAGTAGTAGACAGACTCTAGCATTTGGATACAGGCAAACACACAGGATTCTTGCCAACCTGAATCATAAAGTTTTAATTTAAAAATGATCTCCCTCCATCTCAGGGATTACTATATGTTTTTAAATTTTTTTATTTTATTTAAATCAATTAATTAACATAAAGTATATTATTAGTTTCAGAGATAGAATTCATTGATTCATCAGTTGCATATAATGCCCAGTGCTCATTACATCACGTGCTCTCCTTAATGCCCATCACCCAGCTATCCCATCCCCCAACCCACCTCCCCTCCAGCAACCCTCAGTTTCTTATACTTAAGAGTCTTTTATAGTTTGTCTTCCTTTCTGATTTCATCTTATTTTATTTTATTTCTGATTTCATCTTTATTTTATTGTCTTCCTTTCTGATTTCATCTTATTTTATTTTTCCCTCCCTTAGGGATTACAAGGTGTTATGTGTAATAACACATAAACAAGACATGCACACTTGTGCATTCTTTTATGTGTGTATATATACACACATGTGCATAACAACCGTCAAAGCTTGTAGAGAGACAGAGGTGGCTATAAGTAGGGAGAAACTCTGAATTTTGAAAGTTCTAAAAGACTGTACTTTCAACAAAATCAACTGTACACTGGGATTCCAGAACCATGGCAAATCTTGAAGACATTTCTAGTATCCCATTTGGAAACCTATGACATGAAGTTAGAAAGGGACACTTAAAGCAGATGGTGAGCCAAATGTTTCTACTGAAAAACCTCTAAGATGGATGCCACACATTAAAAGTATGATAAGCCATGGTCGCTCCCTCGAGTAGGGGAAGTGATATTTGAGAGTTGTCAGGCTGCTAAAACCATACACATGCAGAATATATGTACTTAGAAAAGATGCAGCAGCCAGAAGAGCTCATACTGTATTTCATCACACTTTATTTATTTTGGATTTAAGAGTGGCCTGTCCTAACTGGGCCTCACAAACCCTTTCTGAATGTAATGATAAGGCCAATGTAAGCCTCGAGCTGTGTGTGGCCTTCTTAGCCTACACGGGGAAATAGCCAACCTCCCTGAGAGGGCCGCCCCAGAGGGAAGAGGAAAGTAGAGCCGAGATGAAGGGATGACAGAAGCCCTGACAGAATTATTTGGACTTTTGTGTTCAGCTGGACCCAATGAAAAAGCTACCTCTAGATCATGAATTAATATGTCTTTTTTGTACTTAAAAAACATCCCCAAAAAGCAAACTCAAGCTGGCTTCCTCTGCTGGAAATTCCTTCCTTGCTGGAGGCAGGGCTTGTGTCTTCCTTTCCTTCATAGGTTTCCCGGACTGTTCACTTCTGATACTGGGAATTCTTTCTGCTTTTGGAGTCATTTGCCCTGCGTGTGGCTCAATCCCAAATAGGAGTTTCACACGCTGAGCTGTTGCATGTGACTGTATTACAGCTTCTAAAATGCAACCAGAAAGTCATCTGAGAAGCTGTTCCTTTAGCCCATTGTGGTCAAGTCTGAGGGGACACTATTCAGACAGCTGCTGGCACCGTCTCCTGGGGCACCAGGTCAGTGTGTGTTCTCTCTGCTGGATCGCTTCACTTGTATCGACAAAGGTTTGTGAGCAAAGGAGCTTCTATACTTGTGATTTCTGCCACCTGGACAAGGGATTTTAATCACCAGAAAGTCTGGTCTTAGAACAGTTGGCATTGCTGTCAGAGTCAAAAATTCCTAACTTGGGAAATGATGCCTAAAAAGTAGGGAACAATCAAAAGACAAGATGGAATGGAAGTGGGTCACAGTAAGTAGCTCTACTCAATCCCATTCTAATCTAAGAGGATGCCTCATTTGCCAATGTTTCCACTTGGTTTCTTGACATTCTGCCTTTCTCATCCTAGTATTCAGCACCCCTGAAATGGCAGTGGTGGTGTGAGAAAACCCTGCACTTTTCAGCCAGCAGGCAGCAGTTTGAGGCCCGCCTCCACTATCACTGCATGCAACCTCTCTGGGCATCTGTTTTATCGTTGGCAAAGTGCTGATGATGGCACCTACTTCCACGGTTGCTGGGAAGATTCGATGACACAACAGGTGTTAAAAACCCCAGAAATATTATTTCCAAGGCTTAGGACTCCCAAGCAAATGCATGTCTGTAACATGTATAGACACCCAGAGATACATGCATATATAATATCCCCCAGACCATACCTTTCCTTCTCAGCAAGACCATAAGGCCTGCCCTTCCTACCCTAAGCCATTCTGAGTGAATCCTACCCTAAGCCATTCTGAGTGAATCCACATCCACTCATCCCACCTCTCCATCTCACTAAAGAATTCTCTTCCTCATTTTTATTTTTATTTTTTTTAAAGATTTTTATTTATTTATTCATGAGAAACACAGAAAGAGAGAGGCAGAGACACAGGCAGAGGGAGAAGCAGGTTCCATGCAGGGAGCCCAATGCGGGACTTGATCCTAGGTCTCCAGGATCACGCCCTGGGCCGAAGGCAGGCGCTAAACTGCTGAGCCACCCAGGGATCTCCTCTTCCTCATTTTTAATGTTCACCTCCTCAAAACCAGCATACAAGCAAGATTCTTTTGATTGTTGCTTAGTACTATATCATCCAAATTCAGATTTCATAAAATTATGACAAACCAAAACCAAGTTCTAACAAAATTAAAATGATAAAAAGGAATATCCATTTAAAACCAAAGGGGTAAAAAAAATAAAATAAAAAATAAAATAAAATAAAACCAAAGGGGTGAAATGTCAAAATAAAATGTTCAACACAGCTACTGAGAGTGTCCAAATCTTTGTTGTCTGTCTGGCCTAGTTCAAATGCCACTTGTTCCCCATCCTTTCCCCGACCATCCTCCTCCCTCCCAACAAACTCTCCTGCAGCACACAGTGGAATCAACTCATTCATCATCTGAGTGCCTCAGATCCTTTATGGATACTTAACATTTACAATAATTTTTTTGTGAGTGTGTTTTCTGGTTGGACCACGACATCCTAAAAGGCATTCACTGTGACCTACTGGCATCGAGGGCAGAATAATATAGTAGGTGCTCAATACATGTTTATTAAGTTGAATTTTAAAATCAATCATGGCACACACACACATGCACACTCCGTCTTTGCTCTCAGGATAAACAGGCAACAAACACATCAGCCACAGTAGTTACAACTGAGCCAGCATTTCAACTGCAGACCTTCTGTCAAACAACATAATTCAGTTTTGCAATCCTCACATTCCAAAAACAACAACAAAAAAAAAGTTAAGCCTAGGAAATGAGACAGGAAAATGTTTTAACTTGCCATGCCATCAATTTTGTAAAATTGTAGTATGTTACTCATATACATATATGTGTATGTATGTGTGTATATATATGTATATGTTATTCATATTACTCATACATATATGTATACATGTATTTATATATATATAATTCATATATATATATGTGTGTGTGTGTGTGTGTGTAATTTCATCCACCTCAGAACCCTCCATATATTTTTCTACTTAAGAAAGGCACTTTTCAGAGCACCTGGGTGGCTCAGTGGTTGAGCATCAGCCTTTGGCTCAGGGCATGATCTCAGGGTCCTGGGACTGAGTCTCACATTGGGCTCCCTGCAGGGAGCCTGGTTGTCCCTCTGCCTATGTCTCTGCCTCTCTGTGTATATCTCATGAATGAATAAAATCTTTATTTCTTTTAAGATTTTATTTATTTATTCATGAGAGACACACACACACACACAGAGAGAGAGAGAGAGAGAGAGAGAGAGAGAGAGAGGCAGAGACACAGGCAGAGGGAGAAGTAGGCTCCATGGAGTCCAACGTGGGACTTGATCCTGGGTCTCCAGGATCATGCCCTGGGCCGAAGGCGGTGCTAAACCGCTGAGCCACCCAAGCTGCCCTAAACAAAATCTTAAAAAAAAAGAAAAAGAAAGAAAAAAAAGAAAGGCACTTTTCAATGACCGTCTTTGAATTAACTATATTTTTAGATTACTTCAGATATTTGTAAACACTATAATTTTCTCTTCTGAAATAATTGCTAAATCATTGTCTTTTTCTTTTTCTTTTTTTTAAGATTTATCCATTTATTCATGAGAGGCACAGACACAGTTATTCCTCTAAGCACTGAAAACCCAATGGCAGATGAGACACATGGTCCTCAAGGAACTTACTCTGAGAAGTGGCAGGTTGAGGACACAGTGGAAGAACAACTAACAAAGAAAGAGAAGATTTCAAGGAAGGACAGGTGTGTTAAAGAGGGAGAAGCAGGCCCCCCTATAGGAATCCGACGCGGGACTCCATCCCAGATCCTGAGACCACGACCTGAGCTGAAGGCAGCCACCCAACCGCTGAGCCACCCAGGTGTCCTGCTAAATCACTGTCTTTTGACCATGCTGTTCAGGAACTAGAACAAATTTTAATATCCACTTTATTCAATCAACAACTACCATACTGGAGATGTGGGGATAAAAAATGTAATTCCTACTCTCAAGGAGTTTATACTCTAATAAGGTAAATAGGATAATAAACAGTAAGAACACTGAGATATGATAAAGATATGTAGAGAATGTCGTGGGAGCCCAGAGAGCCCATCGCCAACATTGGCTTTTTGTTTGTTTGGTAGGAAGAGAGAAAGAGAGAATGGAGGCCCACAAATTCATCCTGAAGATCACAACCTTACAAGCTACTATTTAGGCCGGGGTCTTTTAAAATAATAGCAGTAAGAATAGCGAGTACTTTAAAAATGCTCTTTTTTAAAAAAAAAAAAATGCTCTTTTTTCAAATCCATCCTCAATCACAAATAATTCTCACTTTCTAGCCACACAGACCTTCTCTTCTCGTGCCTGAAGACAACCTGTACCTGA